GCGACTCCTTCTATATCAGATCCTAGCTCCCTCGTAATATCACCTGCAACCGACTGCAGGTGCTGCTTGCCCTGCAAGTGCTCGCGTTTATTGTGAAGGTTATGAAACCACTGGTCGCATGTTCGGCAATAGAGTTCTTCATTATCTTCTTCCTAAAAGTCACCACAGAGATATAAAACAGCCTAAATTGTTGTTGTTATGACAAAAAGAAATGACAGAACAATTTTATTTCACCGAATTTTTAATAAGTAAATCCATATCTTTATACTTTATTGCTTTACAAAGAGATAGATCTCACTTCTGAAGTAACGTCATGCACAAAGCATCAACATCTTGGTAACGGTTCTACTTACATCAAAATCATCAGTAGCATCCATATCACTCTCAGACAGAACATTATTTTGAAGTCTTTTTTTTCGTTTTTTGGTCAAATAAGCCCTGTATGCGTCAGACTGCCTATACTGTCTTAATTCCTCTCTATACCGCTTTTTGTCTTCTTCGGCCTTTTCTAAATAAGGTTTTTTCTCCTCCAATGTCAAACTAGACCAACGATTGCCTATAATTTTTGTGATTTCATGAAAAGCAAGGTTACTCTCCTTAAATAACTTTCTTTGTTCATTTAGGTACAAATTGTAACCAGTGGCAGGGGCCTTAGGAGGGAGATTTAGTAGCTCTGGCTTACGTTTCCTACCCTTAGGCCACCCCCCTCGACCCTTCTTTGGTTTAATAACTTCTACTATATTTTTTGATATGGTTGGATTTATTAATTCCTCAGCAGTGTGTGTTTTAATATTAGTTGTTACCGATGATTTATTTGTCATTTCACCATTAGTAGAACCTAATTCTATAAGTGGAGCATCAATTTTCTCGGTAATAATACTACTAACATTATGAACAGTCTTTTCGAATGCTAGGTTACTTATTGAGACTATTTTAGGCCTATTGATAATACTCTGTATTTGGCCCTCACAGTTAAATATATTTGTATGAATATCATTTGACAAAGAAGAAAACGTTAAAAATGCCGATTGCACACCAGAACCTGAAGTAGTAGTACTAATGCTACTGATATCACTGCATTCACTTGAAAATCCATCACTATCACAATTTATACTCGTTTGTAATATTCTGTCTTTACTACCAGCTACATTTTGTTGCGATATTAGCTGAGCAGCAACATTGCGTAGATCCTCAACAGACAAATTTAAATCTGATGACAGAGCATCATTTAGTGACATGCAAATTAAACTAAAAATAAAAATTTATTATACAATAAAGTGGAACGTCATCGTCTGTGAATATTTACCCTTTGCTTGTTTCAACCAAAATACCATTCCTAAGTAAATTGTTTGCTTCATCAGCCGTTTCGCCATCCATATTATCAGTCTTAATTTTAATTTGTAATCCAGATATATTCATAGTATATAAGTTGAATCTTAAAGATTACTTCTGAAAAATATTTATTTCTCATAATTTTAAAATACACAACGATCAACAAAACGAAATGAACCACAAAAAGAACGAAAAAATGTCAACTGTCACTAATTAAACATCATCTTCTTCTTCGTGGATATATACACAAGAGTAGTTACTCTTATGGATATATACCGCTGTCAAATAAATAACGTGCATTCAATTCAATTAAGTGATCCTACTTTGTAATCAACATAATAAATTCTGACGTATTTAAATATCATCTCAGGAAGGGTTTTCGTAAACTAAGATCTGAGATCAGTTAGACTACTAAAGCTGTTATCCGATTTCAAGAGGAATTTTTGGATTTAAAAGAAAATAATTATACGACGGCGCCTCGCCCTCAAGATCACTTTGATTGAACTATGTAGTACCGCTTTAGGTGCTAGTTGATCACACATTTTATAGAAAGGAACGCTACTATTGCCGTTCCGTTCTGTATTACTAATACTCCGTGCTGTAACTATCTTCATTACGCTTTTGTGTGCTAGAAGATCACGTCGTGTTTGTTATAACTAGACTAATTTATTTTGTTTTAGGAAAATAAAATAGGATTAACAATGGGAAAGTCAAAAAGGAAAAGAAGCTTATCACGATCACCGTCTCCAGGGTGTTCTAGTCGTGGAAAAACCCTTCAATTGGAAAAAAGGCTAAAAGCGTTGGAACGACGCTTTAGACGCCATAGTGAATCCAGATCATCCAAATCCCCAACGTCAAAAAGGTCAAAACATTACGACAGAGGAAGCTTAAATTCAAGGGGTGATCGAAACTCGAGGCAAATGCCAAGAAACTCGACACCGGTTCGAAGTCCCAGAGACTCGACATCCTTTGGCCAAGAAGGTTTTACCCCTTCTTTAACATTACAAGATGGCTCGGAAGGTTTTACCCCTTCTGTAATATCTGCCAGAAGTATTGAGCAGGAAAATGCCCCCTCACCAAATATTAATAATAGTATATTGGTGGTACATGAACCGGGTTTGGATGAAGAAGTGTTGAAATGCTTGGGAGAAGACCCTGAGAACGCCAAGACCGAAAAAGTGGAGCTGCACAAGGCATTGTCTCCTAGATGGCAGCATATGCTGACAAAAGGTATATCAAAAGATAATAAATTAGAACTGCTGGCGAAATATCCAGTCCCAAGCAACTGTGGCGGGTTGCAAACGCCTACATTAAATCCAGAAATAGCCCAAGCCGTTTCCGATATATCCTTAAAGAAAGATAAATATCAGGTGATTATGCAATCTCAGTTGGGTGCAGGAATAACGGCACTGGGTAAGGCCATAACTATGGTATTGGTAGATGAAAGTGATTTGGCAAAATCCCTTGTTCCGATTCTTAGTGAATCCGGTAAGTTACTAACTGACTTGTTTCACTCCTTTTCAGTTCAAAGGAAAAGTTTTCTAACCCCGCAACTAAATCCATTAGCTATGAACATAGCAAAGACCAGTTCCATTGATATACAACTTTTCGGTGCAGATTTTGGGGAGAGACTAAAAGCTGCAAAAGAAATTGAAAAGTCAAGTAAAGACTTAAAAGGCAATAAAGCGTCGACTTTTGCTAGTAATCCAAGGCGAACAGAGTGGAAGGTGCCGACTTTAAACTCCAGGGGCCCGTCTCGGGGGAGGAGAGACCAGAGACAATACGGGCAATCTCGGCACAGGAAACCGGCAGAGCTCCCTCACAGGCGTTACCAATCCAACAAGAGATATCGAGAATAGAGGTAAGTACCTTCGGAGGAAGGTTACGTTTTTTCAGTGAGCATTGGGAAGGCCTACCAGTTACAACGACAATAAAGGAGTATATTAAGGGTTATAAAATTCCCTTCTTTAGAAGACCCATTCAACAAAATCAATTAAAAGGCAAGTCGAGGAAAGAACTTCGGGCCTTACAGGAAGCTATAAAAGAGCTAATTGAAATGAAAGCAATAGAAAAATGCACAAAAGTTAAAAATCAATTTATTTCGCCTTGTTTTCTCGTTAAAAAACCAAACGGGAAAAATCGTTTTATTTTGAACCTAAAAGGATTGAACAGATTTATAATTACGTCACACTTTAAAATGGAAGACTCGAGAATGGTAATGAAATTAATTAGGAAAAGTTGTTACATGACTAGTCTTGACTTAAAAGACGCATATTTCTTGATACCTGTTCACAAACATTATAAAAAGTACTTACGGTTTCAAGTAGATAATCATCTGTACCAATTCACATGTCTTCCGTTCGGCCTTTGTACGGCCCCACAGGTCTTTACAAAAGTTATAAAGCCCGTTCTAGGTTATCTTAGGTCCAATGGTGTAATATGTGTTGCCTACTTGGATGATTTCTGGATAATGGGCGAAACAAAGGAACAGTGTTTGTACTTCACCAATTTAACCATTCAGTTATTGGAAAGGTTAGGTTTTAGTATTAATAGGGAAAAAAGCTCTCTATTACCTTCTCAAACATGTAAATTTTTAGGCTTTATTTTTAATTCAATTCAAATGACGATAGAGCTGACTGCGGAAAAAAGGCAGAAGATATTTAATTGTATTAAAACTATTCAAAATAAAAAGCATATAAAAATTAGACAATTTGCACAATTTGTGGGGCTCGTTGTATCAGCTTGTCCAGCAATAAAATATGCAAAACTTTATACAAAAACTTTTGAAAAGGAAAAATATTTAGCATTAAAAAAGACAAACCAAAATTATAATAAAATCATGACCCTACCAGCCTCGATTAAAATGGATCTGAGGTGGTGGCTAGAAAACATAAACATATCGAACAACGAAATCAGACAAGATAATTTCGCTATCGAAATCTACTCTGATGCCTCAAAAACAGGCTGGGGCGTTCACTGTCAAGGAAATAGTACTCATGGTTGGTGGTCTAAAAAGGAAATAAACTTGCATATTAATTATCTTGAACTTTTAGCAACTTTTTACAGCTTAAAATGCTTTGCTAAGGATCTGAGGTCCTGTAATGTTCTTATCAGGGTTGATAATACGACTGCGCTAGCGTATATTAACAAAATGGGTAGTATTCAACATCGATATCTGAATGAACTAACTAGACAAATATGGCAATGGTGCGAGAGAAGGGACATATGGCTCTATGCCTCTTACATAGCGTCCTCCGAAATTAAAGCAGATGAAAGTTCTAGAGTATTGTCACCTGAAACAGAATGGGAACTAGCAGATTTTGCTTTTAAATATATTGTCAAAAAACTGGGGTGTCCAGACATAGACTTATTTGCAACAAAGATAAATGCAAAATGCAACAATTATATTTCGTGGTACAAAGATCCAGATTCTATAGCAGTTGATGCTTTCACTGTTTCTTGGAAATCAAATTTCTTTTATGCCTTTCCACCTTTTACACTTATCCTCAGAACGTTGCAAAAAATCATCACTGATGAAGCAGAAGGCATTGTTGTTGTACCTGACTGGCCTTCGCAACCTTGGTACCCGTTATTCAAAAAATTATTAATTAGCGAACCAGTGGTATTAGGGCCTGACATTAATTTGTTATCTTCTCCTTTTAGAATGAACCATCCTCTTCATGCCAAGCTTACCCTGGTAGCAGGGAGTTTGTGCGGCAAGCACTCTTAAAAAAGGGATATCCTGCAGAAACAGTGGATGTTACATTGAACTCCATTTCAGAATCCACTCATAAACAATATAATACGTCATATAAATCTTGGTGGAGTTACTGTTTAGAAAACAATAAAAATCCACTCGTGGTAGATATATCAGAAATATTGAGGTTTATGCAGAAAGAATTTGAAAAAGGGAACACTTCGTACGGCAAGCTTAATCAACACAGATCAGCGCTTTCTCTAATATTTCCTGGAGAAATTGGAAAAGACATTTTAATAAGAAGATTTTTAAAAGGAGTTTATCGGCTTAGACCAACAAAACCAAGATATAATACCACCTGGAATCCCCAAATAGTCATTAATTATATTGATTCACTAGGACCAGACGAGACATTACCTACTTTGATATTAACAAAGAAACTAGCTACACTATTGGCTCTGGCCACAGGCCATAGAATACAAACACTATACCTTATAAAAGTGGATAATATTATATTTGATGGCGAAGGAGTATGCATATATATAACTGACCAGGTGAAGAACTCGAAGAATAATGCTCCGCAGCCCTTTTTTAAAGTACCTTATTTCACTGGAAAACCTAATTTATGTGTTGTTTCAACACTCATATCCTATTTAGAAAAAACGTCAGAGTGGAGACCACAATCAGAAGACTATTTATTCATTACAGCAAAGGATCCATACAAGAGGGCATCAAAAGACACAATTAGCAGATGGATTAAACAAACGTTAAACGCAGCGGGAATAAATACGCAGATTTTTTCAGCGTATTCCACACGGCATGCCTCTACCTCGGCAGCCGCTAGAAATGGTGTATCTTGGGATGTTATTAGGAAAACAGCAGGCTGGACAAAAACCTCAAAAGTCTTTGCAAAATTCTACAACCGTCCCGTTGTAGAAGACAACAATTTTGNATTTGTACAATCCTCGGTTTCGACCCATTTAGACATAAAAACAATGATTAACGAAACTGCCAAGCGAACCACACACCGTATGTATTAACACAGAATGGGATGAGAGCAAGCGGAGTGCTCTGCCAGTCGCCCGTACCGGTATTATGACGTCAGGCAATGGTTGCTCAACGTTTTTCCACACTCTGTTTTCATTAATTTATTTCATGTATTTTTCGTTGAAACAAAAAATTGATTTTTGGCATACTAACTAATTAAGGGTAAACTTTTGGAATATGCAAAAAAAAAATTCTACTGAATGGGCCTATTGAAGATATTTAGCCATTTTCTTGTAATTTTGTTGGTAATTGTTTAACTGAAACTGACATTTTAAAAATATAACCTCTTTCATATGTCCATATTTTATTATTTTTGGCAAAGTTAACAATTAGTAAATAATAGTAGTAATCAGTTGATTCTTAATTTAATATTTAATACACAATTAGTTTATAAATGAAGTATGACGCCAAAATCAACAATTTAGTTATATTTTTCTGAATTGCGTAAAAATCATTATAAATGTAACATCTGCTCAAAAACAATTTTCAAGAATTACAGTAGGATGGAAAAAGATTTAAATAAGTATTTTGGCTGTCCCAGGAAAATTAGAAACTAATTTATAAAAAAGTCTAAAGGTAGGTAATAAGTAAAATATATCGACACATATTCATTAGAATAAAAGTAATATTTTGCTTTGTGTCCCCCTCAAGCAGTGACCTGTGAAAACATAACGTCACTCGTAGTTGCCTTATTAGATTCAAGGTCAAAAGTACTTTTCTCTACATGTCCGTAACACACTTTCCCGAAAAGTGCCCATCTCTAATGTATATCTTCATCTTCAGCTTAAAATCAATTTTTATTTTCAATGTGCTTAGTCTAAAAAAGTGAAAATGGAAACATTTTTCAAATGATTAACAATTACGAAGCCCTTAGCTTTCAACTTTTAAAATTTCATAGGAAAAAAAAATCGTTTATTACAATCCTTGAAACTTACCCGTTTTGTTCAATTACCTATATTTTTATCAAATATTGAACATACCTGCGAAAACATTTGTTTTACTGAAGCAATTTATTAAAAATTGGAATTGTGATTTTTTAATTTTTGATAAAGCTATTAATTTTAAAATGGAAAAACTCTATCTAAAAAAAGATAAACAAAGTACATAGGCAAATTTGTTTATATCAAAATAATAATAATAATAAATATATGTATTGTATCCATCCTATATACTTCATTTTTAGCGCTAACTTGGGCTTCATATTTTATTTTAATTTTTTTTTTCATATCACTTCCGTTTCATAAATATTTTTACAAATATAAGGGACAAAACCTTGCGTTTGAGAAAATGTTTAAAAAAATGACATATGTAAATGCAGTAGTGTTCCATGAAATACAAATTACCAACTCCGAATATCGTGTTCTGTCTAGGGCTTAAAATTTCAGAATCACTATCATAGTACTAATTTGAAGGCTACGCGATATTACCGAACACAATAATTAGGTAGTCTTATAAGGTTTATCTATTCTGTACCTTCAGTAAAATCAGTTGCCGAGTCTGTATTGAAATCTGTAATAATAAACCAACTGGGAACCTGCCATAAATGAAAAACTCTACTCTCCATATTCTTCTCGTTCTCCTTCAATTGCAACAAGTCCTTCTGCAGTTTTTTGTGTCGTTCATTTAGTTGGAGGAGCTGACTGCATAAGGCCTCTTGCTGAGATTTCGATTCGTCTAAACGATTCTGCAATATTTTTATTTCCTTTTCCCTTTCTAAAATAAAATTAAAATAATCCGAGTTTGGAGAAATCTTTGTAATAACTCACTGGAAACGATAGCTGCTAAGTTGGCCATGGCATCATAAACGTTACAACTGGTATTGGTTTGGCCATCGGTAGTATTTTTTAAATTGGGCATACCATCAAGACTAGACTCATCTAATGATGTACTGAAAGAAACGGTACTTGTAGTTGCGACTCCTTCTATATCAGATCCTAGCTCCCTCGTAATATCACCTGCAACCGACTGCAGGTGCTGCTTGCCCTGCAAGTGCTCGCGTTTATTGTGAAGGTTATGAAACCACTGGTCGCATGTTCGGCAATAGAGTTCTTCATTATCTTCTTCCTAAAAGTCACCACAGAGATATAAAACAGCCTAAATTGTTGTTGTTATGACAAAAAGAAATGACAGAACAATTTTATTTCACCGAATTTTTAATAAGTAAATCCATATCTTTATACTTTATTGCTTTACAAAGAGATAGATCTCACTTCTGAAGTAACGTCATGCACAAAGCATCAACATCTTGGTAACGGTTCTACTTACATCAAAATCATCAGTAGCATCCATATCACTCTCAGACAGAACATTATTTTGAAGTCTTTTTTTTCGTTTTTTGGTCAAATAAGCCCTGTATGCGTCAGACTGCCTATACTGTCTTAATTCCTCTCTATACCGCTTTTTGTCTTCTTCGGCCTTTTCTAAATAAGGTTTTTTCTCCTCCAATGTCAAACTAGACCAACGATTGCCTATAATTTTTGTGATTTCATGAAAAGCAAGGTTACTCTCCTTAAATAACTTTCTTTGTTCATTTAGGTACAAATTGTAACCAGTGGCAGGGGCCTTAGGAGGGAGATTTAGTAGCTCTGGCTTACGTTTCCTACCCTTAGGCCACCCCCCTCGACCCTTCTTTGGTTTAATAACTTCTACTATATTTTTTGATATGGTTGGATTTATTAATTCCTCAGCAGTGTGTGTTTTAATATTAGTTGTTACCGATGATTTATTTGTCATTTCACCATTAGTAGAACCTAATTCTATAAGTGGAGCATCAATTTTCTCGGTAATAATACTACTAACATTATGAACAGTCTTTTCGAATGCTAGGTTACTTATTGAGACTATTTTAGGCCTATTGATAATACTCTGTATTTGGCCCTCACAGTTAAATATATTTGTATGAATATCATTTGACAAAGAAGAAAACGTTAAAAATGCCGATTGCACACCAGAACCTGAAGTAGTAGTACTAATGCTACTGATATCACTGCATTCACTTGAAAATCCATCACTATCACAATTTATACTCGTTTGTAATATTCTGTCTTTACTACCAGCTACATTTTGTTGCGATATTAGCTGAGCAGCAACATTGCGTAGATCCTCAACAGACAAATTTAAATCTGATGACAGAGCATCATTTAGTGACATGCAAATTAAACTAAAAATAAAAATTTATTATACAATAAAGTGGAACGTCATCGTCTGTGAATATTTACCCTTTGCTTGTTTCAACCAAAATACCATTCCTAAGTAAATTGTTTGCTTCATCAGCCGTTTCGCCATCCATATTATCAGTCTTAATTTTAATTTGTAATCCAGATATATTCATAGTATATAAGTTGAATCTTAAAGATTACTTCTGAAAAATATTTATTTCTCATAATTTTAAAATACACAACGATCAACAAAACGAAATGAACCACAAAAAGAACGAAAAAATGTCAACTGTCACTAATTAAACATCATCTTCTTCTTCGTGGATATATACACAAGAGTAGTTACTCTTATGGATATATACCGCTGTCAAATAAATAACGTGCATTCAATTCAATTAAGTGATCCTACTTTGTAATCAACATAATAAATTCTGACGTATTTAAATATCATCTCAGGAAGGGTTTTCGTAAACTAAGATCTGAGATCAGTTAGACTACTAAAGCTGTTATCCGATTTCAAGAGGAATTTTTGGATTTAAAAGAAAATAATTATACGACGGCGCCTCGCCCTCAAGATCACTTTGATTGAACTATGTAGTACCGCTTTAGGTGCTAGTTGATCACACATTTTATAGAAAGGAACGCTACTATTGCCGTTCCGTTCTGTATTACTAATACTCCGTGCTGTAACTATCTTCATTACGCTTTTGTGTGCTAGAAGATCACGTCGTGTTTGTTATAACTAGACTAATTTATTTTGTTTTAGGAAAATAAAATAGGATTAACAATGGGAAAGTCAAAAAGGAAAAGAAGCTTATCACGATCACCGTCTCCAGGGTGTTCTAGTCGTGGAAAAACCCTTCAATTGGAAAAAAGGCTAAAAGCGTTGGAACGACGCTTTAGACGCCATAGTGAATCCAGATCATCCAAATCCCCAACGTCAAAAAGGTCAAAACATTACGACAGAGGAAGCTTAAATTCAAGGGGTGATCGAAACTCAAGGCAAATGCCAAGAAACTCGACACCGGTTCGAAGTCCCAGAGACTCGACATCCTTTGGCCAAGAAGGTTTTACCCCTTCTTTAACATTACAAGATGGCTCGGAAGGTTTTACCCCTTCTGTAATATCTGCCAGAAGTATTGAGCAGGAAAATGCCCCCTCACCAAATATTAATAATAGTATATTGGTGGTACATGAACCGGGTTTGGATGAAGAAGTGTTGAAATGCTTGGGAGAAGACCCTGAGAATGCCAAGACCGAAAAAGTGGAGCTGCACAAGGCATTGTCTCCTAGATGGCAGCATATGCTGACAAAAGGTATATCAAAAGATAATAAATTAGAACTGCTGGCGAAATATCCAGTCCCAAGCAACTGTGGCGGGTTGCAAACGCCTACATTAAATCCAGAAATAGCCCAAGCCGTTTCCGATATATCCTTAAAGAAAGATAAATATCAGGTGATTATGCAATCTCAGTTGGGTGCAGGAATAACGGCACTGGGTAAGGCCATAACTATGGTATTGGTAGATGAAAGTGATTTGGCAAAATCCCTTGTTCCGATTCTTAGTGAATCCGGTAAGTTACTAACTGACTTGTTTCACTCCTTTTCAGTTCAAAGGAAAAGTTTTCTAACCCCGCAACTAAATCCATTAGCTATGAACATAGCAAAGACCAGTTCCATTGATATACAACTTTTCGGTGCAGATTTTGGGGAGAGACTAAAAGCTGCAAAAGAAATTGAAAAGTCAAGTAAAGACTTAAAAGGCAATAAAGCGTCGACTTTTGCTAGTAATCCAAGGCGAACAGAGTGGAAGGTGCCGACTTTAAACTCTAGGGGCCCGTCTCGGGGGAGGAGAAACCAGAGACAATACGGGCAATCTCGGCACAGGAAACCGGCAGAGCTCCCTCACAGGCGTTACCAATCCAACAAGAGATATCGAGAATAGAGGTAAGTACCTTCGGAGGAAGGTTACGTTTTTTCAGTGAGCATTGGGAAGGCCTACCAGTTACAACGACAATAAAGGAGTATATTAAGGGTTATAAAATTCCCTTCTTTAGAAGACCCATTCAACAAAATCAATTAAAAGGCAAGTCGAGGAAAGAACTTCGGGCCTTACAGGAAGCTATAAAAGAGCTAATTGAAATGAAAGCAATAGAAAAATGCACAAAAGTTAAAAATCAATTTATTTCGCCTTGTTTTCTCGTTAAAAAACCAAACGGGAAAAATCGTTTTATTTTGAACCTAAAAGGATTGAACAGATTTATAATTACGTCACACTTTAAAATGGAAGACTCGAGAATGGTAATGAAATTAATTAGGAAAAGTTGTTACATGACTAGTCTTGACTTAAAAGACGCATATTTCTTGATACCTGTTCACAAACATTATAAAAAGTACTTACGGTTTCAAGTAGATAATCATCTGTACCAATTCACATGTCTTCCGTTCGGCCTTTGTACGGCCCCACAGGTCTTTACAAAAGTTATAAAGCCCGTTCTAGGTTATCTTAGGTCCAATGGTGTAATATGTGTTGCCTACTTGGATGATTTCTGGATAATGGGCGAAACAAAGGAACAGTGTTTGTACTTCACCAATTTAACCATTCAGTTATTGGAAAGGTTAGGTTTTAGTATTAATAGGGAAAAAAGCTCTCTATTACCTTCTCAAACATGTAAATTTTTAGGCTTTATTTTTAATTCAATTCAAATGACGATAGAGCTGACTGCGGAAAAAAGGCAGAAGATATTTAATTGTATTAAAACTATTCAAAATAAAAAGCATATAAAAATTAGACAATTTGCACAATTTGTGGGGCTCGTTGTATCAGCTTGTCCAGCAATAAAATATGCAAAACTTTATACAAAAACTTTTGAAAAGGAAAAATATTTAGCATTAAAAAAGACAAACCAAAATTATAATAAAATCATGACCCTACCAGCCTCGATTAAAATGGATCTGAGGTGGTGGCTAGAAAACATAAACATATCGAACAACGAAATCAGACAAGATAATTTCGCTATCGAAATCTACTCTGATGCCTCAAAAACAGGCTGGGGCGTTCACTGTCAAGGAAATAGTACTCATGGTTGGTGGTCTAAAAAGGAAATAAACTTGCATATTAATTATCTTGAACTTTTAGCAACTTTTTACAGCTTAAAATGCTTTGCTAAGGATCTGAGGTCCTGTAATGTTCTTATCAGGGTTGATAATACGACTGCGCTAGCGTATATTAACAAAATGGGTAGTATTCAACATCGATATCTGAATGAACTAACTAGACAAATATGGCAATGGTGCGAGAGAAGGGACATATGGCTCTATGCCTCTTACATAGCGTCATCCGAAAATAAAGCAGATGAAAGTTCTAGAGTATTGTCACCTGAAACAGAATGGGAACTAGCAGATTTTGCTTTTAAATATATTGTCAAAAAACTGGGGTGTCCAGACATAGACTTATTTGCAACAAAGATAAATGCAAAATGCAACAATTATATTTCGTGGTACAAAGATCCAGATTCTATAGCAGTTGATGCTTTCACTGTTTCTTGGAAATCAAATTTCTTTTATGCCTTTCCACCTTTTACACTTATCCTCAGAACGTTGCAAAAAATCATCACTGATGAAGCAGAAGGCATTGTTGTTGTACCTGACTGGCCTTCGCAACCTTGGTACCCGTTATTCAAAAAATTATTAATTAGCGAACCAGTGGTATTAGGGCCTGACATTAATTTGTTATCTTCTCCTTTTAGAATGAACCATCCTCTTCATGCCAAGCTTACCCTGGTAGCAGGGAGTTTGTGCGGCAAGCACTCTTAAAAAAGGGATATCCTGCAGAAACAGTGGATGTTACATTGAACTCCATTTCAGAATCCACTCATAAACAATATAATACGTCATATAAATCTTGGTGGAGTTACTGTTTAGAAAACAATAAAAATCCACTCGTGGTAGATATATCAGAAATATTGAGGTTTATGCAGAAAGAATTTGAAAAAGGGAACACTTCGTACGGCAAGCTTAATCAACACAGATCAGCGCTTTCTCTAATATTTCCTGGAGAAATTGGAAAAGACATTTTAATAAGAAGATTTTTAAAAGGAGTTTATCGGCTTAGACCAACAAAACCAAGATATAATACCACCTGGAATCCCCAAATAGTCATTAATTATATCGATTCACTAGGACCAGACGAGACATTACCTACTTTGATATTAACAAAGAAACTAGCTACACTATTGGCTCTGGCCACAGGCCATAGAATACAAACACTATACCTTATAAAAGTGGATAATATTATATTTGATGGCGAAGGAGTATGCATATATATAACTGACCAGGTAAAGAACTCGAAGAATAATGCTCCGCAGCCCTTTTTTAAAGTACCTTATTTCACTGGAAAACCTAATTTATGTGTTGTTTCAACACTCATATCCTATTTAGAAAAAACGTCAGAGTGGAGACCACAATCAGAAGACTATTTATTCATTACAGCAAAGGATCCATACAAGAGGGCATCAAAAGACACAATTAGCAGATGGATTAAACAAACGTTAAACGCAGCGGGAATAAATACGCAGATTTTTTCAGCGTATTCCACACGGCATGCCTCTACCTCGGCAGCCGCTAGAAATGGTGTATCTTGGGATGTTATTAGGAAAACAGCAGGCTGGACAAAAACCTCAAAAGTCTTTGCAAAATTCTACAACCGTCCCGTTGTAGAAGACAACAATTTTGCAAAATCTGTTTTAGCAACTGAATTGTGAATACATTCATACATGTTTAATATTGTAAAATCATACACGAAGAGTTCTTGTGCATGGTCATAATAAATGTGTTACACTGATGGCAGTAATTTATTGAAAACAACAGGATGGATATGTAACATTTCTAAGTCTTTAAACTTCTACATAGTTCAATCAAAGTGATCTTGAGGGCGAGGCGCCGTCGTATAATTGTACGATCAAACGAACTTAACTGTGAAGTTCGATCGTAATTATACTAGGCGCCTCGCCCGAAGAGATCACTCCCTCCCTTTACAAAATAATAAGTAATCCCACTAAACAAAAATTCTTTAAGAATAAGATATAAAGGAGTAAGTATCCCAACCCAATTTGGAAATGTTTCATATCCACTCTTGCAACTTTAAAATGTAATGAAGATAGTTACAGCACGGAGTATTAGTAATACAGAACGGAACGGCAATAGTAGCGTTCCTTTCTATAAAATGTGTGATCAACTAGCACCTAAAGCGGTACTACATAGTTCAATCAAAGTGATCTCTTCGGGCGAGGCGCCTAGTATAATTACGATCGAACTTCACAGTTAAGTTCGTTTGATCGTACAATTACTCAAGCGTACTATCTTGATTTAGAACACTTTAGGAGTGCATTAGTGAAATATTAAATACTCTAACTTATTGGAACACACGAGGTCAATCTGAAGTGTTCCAGAGTATATTTTTTGTCAGTTGGAAATCAGCTGTCTGTGATATGTGATATGATATGTCATGAGTTTTTGATGGACATTTGACACGAGTGAATAGGTGAAAAATGGATTTAAAGAAAATTGATGAAGGTTTGTAGCAGGGAGTATAGTCTCCTTGTTTTGTAGTTTGGTTACGGGATTATGTCTTTAAATTCAATCTACATCGTAGTGATGAGCAAAATCGAGCATTTTTAATTGTAAGAATCGGGTACTTGGTTCTCGAATACTTTTAAGAATCGAACGATAATAACAGTAATGAAAATCGAGAACCAAAAGCTGGATTGAACGTTGCATGAAGAACATTATTATCGTGGTGCGGGTATATATTATTCACATCTTTATTATAAAAAATTTTGTGTGTAATTATTTAAATTTGCTGCTTTGTAAATACATATTTTCTAAAAAAAATTATTTCAATATATTCTCGTTTCCAATAAATATTTTTAAGATCATAAACAATATGTGTGTATGTAAATTCGTTCCAATATTTATCGCACTCGAGAACTCAGCTAGGTAACCTGACAACTATCGAGAATAGTTAAAAGTATTGGAGTACTTTTAGCAAGTCGATTCTCGATTTCTCATTCGAGTACTCCCATCACTGCAATCACTCTCTTCTATAACTGTTGACTATGACTACAATCTACAGGATTATGGATTGTTGTAGTCTATGGTTATGACCTTTTCTCTGTTTTGTGGTTATGATTGTTCATGTAAAATTGGGTTATATTACTTTGTATTTACTTAAATATGCATTTTAGATTTAAAATGATTTAGATCTATATTATTGTCCAGTGAAATGGCTTTACGATTATTCGCATCTAAATTTATACCACGGTTAATAAGAACATCCACAGTTAATAAATTTGTGCCCAATAGACTTTCATTTCCCAAAGTCCAGAGTGCAACAGTTAATCCACTTATTAAACAGCATAGTACACAGCAGTCTCAGCCTTTAGGAAAATTAGAAGGAAAATTGTTTCTGCAGTATACTTGTAAAGTTTGCACTACACGAAATGAACATCACATTTCTAAAATTGCTTATGAAAAAGGAGTCGTTATTGTCACATGTACGGGTTGCAAGAACAACCATTTGATAGCAGACAATCTCAGATGGTTTACTGATTTGAATGGAAAAAGGAATATAGAAGACATTTTAGCAGAAAAAGGTGAAAAAGTGCGAACAATTGGAGTTGGAGAATTTATAAAATGATAGCGGAAACAAAAATTACATGTAGAAATTTTGATAATAAACTAACATTAAGAACTTAATATGTTTAATTTCTATACAAAATAACAATATTTTAAGTAACATGGCAGTTAAGTTATTAAATAATGGAAGCGGTTTCTATAATAAATTTTAAGGGAAAGTAAGTTTTTTAAATGTTTAGAATTTAGTTATGTCACTTTAATTATACGTTATTGTAAAAAAACCATGATGGCACAATAAAATAATCTTTGGCTTTTATACAATAAAATTGGAATACATTTTCGATATTAAAACAATTTACATTGTACAAGTGAAGACAAAAAACAATTTTTCATATTCATTAAATTTATAACTTATATGAAAGACTTTGATGAGCACTCTTAAATATTTTTTTTTAATAAAATTAGCCTTACAACATACCTATAATGTTAATAACGGCATTTTAATATATCTGGTGTTGAAGTTCCTTTGATGAAACACACAGTTCATAAAGTTGTGTTAAAATTGTTACATAAATTCATGAACCTTCTTCCTTCTTGCGAAACACAATAACGAGAAGATTTTAATTAATTTTTTTCATTAGTGCACATCGGAACATCCATTGAACGTTGTTCAGTGGAACGAGCTTATATAATTACTGCGTGTACGAGCAACATAAAAAAAAAGAAATTTAGCACATAATTATCATATTCATATTTTAAGCGAGTTCTCATTTCAAAAAAGAGAATGTAATGGTAACATCACTGGTACATTATAAAGTCAAATTTATACTTGTTATTGACTGAAATAATTGACTGGTACAGTGATAATTTCTACGTTAATATTTGACATGTATTTCTATGCTATCCTTACATCTATATATGTATATATTAAAGTACTTTATATAAGGCACATTTCTTGGCGACTAAACGTTTACATCAAATTCATGGTGATGGTTGCAAATATCACAGAGCCATATTAACTATGAGAAGTAGAATCAACGAAATTAACGTTTGATTGAAATTTTCGAAAATTAAGTGGAATGCAAGGAATTTTAACAGAACAAATGAAATTTTGTTTTAGTCTGATTCACTAAAATCTTTAGAAATTCTTAACAGATTTAAAAATTTACTACTATATATTGAATTATTGGAATGCAAATGAGCTGAAGATGTATTTAATTAATTTAAACTGACTGCTTAAAGCAATAAAATTTAATATCTATATATTTTTTTATGTATGCAGACAGTGTAATGATTTTAAAAAATAAAAAATAGTATTGAATTTTGATCTGGGGATCTATGGAGAATACTGGAGTTCTGGACATCAAACTTATAATCTAAAAAAATACGATCCACTGATCTAACATTTTTTTTCTTAATAATATAGGACAGGTTTCTATCACAAACAGCCACAGATTTAAATTAAAATTGCAGTCTTGATATTTCTTTACCGAATGTAAAAGAATTTTGAATAGTATAATACCCATTTTATATTTCAATGCCAGGATAAAATTCTGCTGAATCCTGCAAAAATAAATGTTGGATTAATGGCAAAACTTTTCATGTAACATCACAAAAACGTCACAAACACTGATGCAGAACGTACAAATGTTTCATTTTCCTGAAAAATTTGAATGCAAAATCGTTATTTGTCGTGACAATAATTTTTTTTTTCAATTCTATTCGATATAATTGCTAGACCTTTGTATTACACTTACATTTAACGTTTAATTTAGGAAATATGTATTAAAAAAAAATAATATATAGGGCATTGCAATAATTTACCAACAAAAGTGTAGAGTAAATTTCGGATCAAAAGAAAAAAGTTGGCATGAACATAAGTCTGCAAACTCATTGTCTTTGATGTCTTCTAGTCTATTTAACTGCTCCTTCACTGATTTTGTGAAATTTTTTTTAGTTTCAATGGTACCTCTAATCTCAATAATCACAAGTTACTGTTTAATTTAAATAGTTATTGTGGAATGTACAGTTACGCTTATTTAAATATCATTATTAATATACAGGGTGTCCCAGTGGGAACTGCGTCGGTCGATATCTAGGAAAATACTGCTCCGAAAAATTTGAAAATTTGGCAACTGGGCAATGTTTCTGGGGCGAATACAACTAAAATATTTAGAACTCTCCAGCACTTCTGGTTAACCAGAAGTCGACACCAACTTCATTATTTTAAATGGAACACCCTTTATATTATAGCATTTTCCGATTCTATGTGAAATTTGAGAGTCACTTTATTAAATATTCCCTATATCTAGGAGTCATAGAATTCGAGATATTAAAATTTAAAGAAAAAATTTGAGATGAGGTCCACGGGGATGCTAGTACCTACTAACTCTTTTCAGGTGCGTGATATCAAGTGGATTTTTAGTTCGTGCAAAGGGCATAAGTGACACTAAATTATGGTATACCAACAAATTAAAACATTTAAAACTAGGTGTTTCATTTTTTCATTGAAATATATGAAAAACTTGTTCCCGTATTTATTTAGCCATAGCCATATACAGGTCTGGTCGAACTAAACGTGGAGGTGGTAGAAATGTACACGCCTAGTTGAAGGGCCGCCGGTTAATAAATCTCAGTTGTTGACAACTGAGGTCGACAAATTGCCCAGCAGTGCAGTGCAGCAGTGGGGAAATTGGTGTGATTCAGGTAATTTTAGTTTATTATAGGCACCTTCTATTTATCATTGATATTACAATTGCGAAAGGGAGAAATAATATTACAACATGGCATTTTGGAGGCCTTTTGAAATGGAACAAAAGGAAATTTACCATCAATATAATAAAATTGTTTGAGGACATAAATAATTAAAATACGTTGTTTGCCAAATGATGCCTATGAAAGTCATTCAATTTTATTGTCAGGCGTTTTTTTACATGTTCAACTGACTTCGGAAAGACTATACCATAAGTGACTATTCTAATTTTGCCCTGAAATAGCAATTTGATGCAGTGGCGTGATTACAATAGATACAATTATAACAGTTAATACAATTTTTTTTTTTAATTAACCAAATTCGATACCCGAGACATTGGTGAAAAATTTCAAGGCACGTCCTTGTTGCGGTAAATTGTTACAGTAATTCCGATAACAGATAGTTTTCCCAACTCTCCCGGAATGCCCGGGACTCTCCGGGAATAATGTTCAACCTCCCGAACTCCCGGGATGCGATAATTTCTCCGGATTTTCTGAAGTAATATTAATCGTCATTAACAAAATAGATAAATTGCGTAGTAGGTAACGACTTCCACATCTCCCCTGGGCGCACGTCATTCCTTAGTTTGTTTTGTTTGTGTTTCTATACCCAAGTACTAAATATTTGATTTAACTTTCTATCCAAACAGTAAAATGAACACAAATACTAACGAGATTAAAGTCAATGGGCAAAAAATTGTTTTCTCGAAAGAAAAATCATTGTCTGTAATAAAAAAATTCATAGACTGAATATTGTATGTATTTTTGAATTGTACAGGGGCGAAAAGCGTACTTTAGAATCAAGTGTCATCCTTTTTATACAAAAACCAAAGACTACCAGATCATTTTTGGAGAAACCATATTAGCGATTTTTTAGAAGCGAATTGGTGGAGGTAACAAGCATTTAATTAATAATTCTTCTCTTCTGAAACATCAATAATTTTGTTGAATATTGTTATGAATAAAAATAGTTATTGTCTTTTGTTTTTGACGTTTTATTGCATGGCTTGCTTCGCCAGACAAAAAAAATTCATAACTATGATTTTCAAATTTGTCAGAATTATTAATATGCAATATTTTTTTATGAAATTTGGTATAGGCCCATTTTAAGGGGCGCTTAATCCAGTGGTGTGCTCAGATTTTTTTTTAAAAAAATCGCTAATACGGGTTCTTTAATTTTTACCGTTAAAAAATTATCTGGTAGGCCTTGGTTTTTGTATAAAGAGGATGACACTTGGTTCTAAAGTACACTTTTCTCCCCTCTACAATTCAAAATTAAGTTGGTCAAAATCACCCTGTAAATAAAAATTTTATGAGGGTATCCAGGTTTCAAATGGGTTGCACTGTATAAAATAATGAGAATAACTACAAAAATTATATTGTTTTTCACCAAGTCTTAAATGTGAAGCGTTTGAAGACCAATTTCTTTTTTATTATTTCTAGTAAGAGAATTTCCTCTACAATTCTGTATGTAGAAAATTGCAACACTCTGTATTACATAATTGTCACCAGTTAGTTCCTTTAAATTCGATTTAATATTAATATTGACATTAATTTATTTTTTGAAAATATTTCCAATACATACGGATGAAAATCATAAATATTATTTGCTTATTCATTAATTTCGCAATAATAATATACTTGTATCTACATACTACTGATATCAAAAATAGAAAAATCTCAATACTACAAAAGGAGATCCTGCATATCATATCAAATAAAACTGATAAAAAGCCATTTGAAAAAATTGATAACAGATGATAACACTCACAAAAACTGTTATACTGATTTTGATGTGATAGTTTTTTTTTCAGCTCGGATCAGACTAAGGTATATTAAATTGATCTTTGAATAGGTGAGACGTTGAAAATTTTCATAAACGGAGAGGTAATAATGGTGCAATAATTGCACTTTGTAAATAAAAATCATATACAAAAAAATACAAATTGTTTTGACTAGACTCGTTTTGGTTTACTAATTACTGCATAAGGCTCCTCGTTGTGAAACTGGTGACTTACTTTATCTTTTTCTTTCTTCTTTTTGTCATCGCTCACAACCTCCTTCAGACCTTCCTTACCCGGCTCTTTTCGAACTAAAGCGTATCCTAAATGAGAGTCGTCAGCGGGCCTCACAGGTTCCATGTCCAAGCACTGAACCTCATCGTATTCATTAAACGAAGGTTGGTACGGAGTGGCAGCCACAGGTATAGGTAACACTTGTTTGTACCCAGATTTGGTACTAAGTTTGCTGGTGGATCCGAAGAAATTTAATTTATCGTAATATGAGTCATCTAAATCGGTTGTGGAACCCGTAATGATCTTAGGCGCCACCGGTTGTACGGGAGGTTTTATATTTTCCACTTCTTTTTTAAATTGTCCCCACGACATGTAGTCTTCTTGTTCGTCGTCTTCATTTACTTGCTCTGTATGGTTAGGTTCATCGACGCCGAGTGTACGCCACGCATCACTTCTATATTCTATATCATCATACTTGCCCACAGTCTCATAAACGTAGTTGTTTGATGGGGTGGGACTACTGAAAGGTTTTTTTGGGATCACACCTTTCCTGGGAGGCTTCGCTGGTTTCGTCTTTTTTAAGGCTTGGTCTAAGTCGGGTAAGCTAAGTTGAGATTTGAAATTTGGATCTTGTATAAGCTGAGATGTCGGTGATGGTGGTAATGGAGTTCGCGATCTAGCTTCCATACTTAGGGCCGCTTGAAGTTGTAAATCGCCGCAGTCTAACACGGGAGATGTTTCCCCGGATAGTAATTTTTTCATAGATTTCATTTTAGTCGCTAGGCATCTAAAATAAATTTTGTTTTTAGAAACATATTCCTACACTTTTCCCGAGACTTTTCCCTTACATATAATATTTTAATATTTATCTGATATGATTAAAATTGAATAAGGCGTCTGGGTAGAAATTTTCATATGATTTTTCCTACATTGAAAATAATATTTTAATACTATGACACTTCAAACTAAAGAGATATTTCTGGGACTTTAATTTTGCAATTTCTCTCAAAGTTTATAAAATTACTACTAAAGTATTAGACAAACTGCATTTAAAGATCTTTTATAACAATGAAACTATATATACTTCCACTAGAAATTATAAACTGGAAGTCTATTCCATAATATGCACTAATTATGGTTCAGCCTCTAAATTATATAATCCTTTATCCAAAACATGAACTTGCTGTGTACTTAGATTATCGTAACGTGGTTATAAGTATCGTTATTCAAATCAATAACTTGTAATTTGGTATGAAAAATATATGTTTTGCAACTGAATACTATTCTGTAATGAAAGTTTCATTACCAAATGATTTAATTTTATGGTAATTTGTAAAACAGCAAATAATAGCAAACACCCCATTTTCAATAAGCAGAAATAAGATTGAACGAGAATAAATAAGTATAAAAGCAAAGGACTTGCTTCATACTTTTCATTATTTACCAAAGCAGTATTTAAAAATGTAGTTATTAAAGTTCAGCATGCCGCTTGAGTAGGTACTGTGAAATTTTAGAGAATTCAGAAAAATTTTCCTTTTGCATTTCTGAAGAAAATATTTGTGCACAATGAGTTTTTTGTGTGCAAACATGGGCAAATATTCTCAAGTGCAAATTATCTTGTCTTTATAACACTAGTGTTGACTCTCACAGATTAGGACGAATTTTAGTACGTACTAACTTTTTATAAGACTAAAGAGCATACGATGTTAAAAAATATATTTAACATACCTAAATATTTCCTGTTGATTAGGATGCTCGAGAAAAAATGTACCTTCACCAGACTCACACTTCCTACCGGCTTCGAAAGTAAACTTTCCAGTCTTATAACCATAACGCCTAATGTAACAGTAAGGCCAAGTAAATAACAATTTATCGTCTTTAATGTTCCTTAATTGCAAGGAGGTTGAGGTTAACACTAAAGTATAATGTTTATTTTCTAGCCCACATCTTTGAGATGCTGGCGAATGATGTAGTTTCACATTAAATACACCTTCCCCAGAAGAGCAGTACAGATCGTTGTCTTCCTCGATACTCGTAAGTCTGGAACCCTCTTCAGGGAAGGCAACAGATTGGATGGCACTCAACCACTCGTTTAGGGATTGCTCTGTTAAAGTAGCGAATTCGTGGATTGCTGTTTTCGTTGTGATGCAGAAAATTGTAGCACTTTTTGCATGGACTTTAATACAGTTTTCAAGGGTAAGAATCTTGGATTCTTTCGAATCCGCAGCATCATATATTTCTAACCTTTCTATTCCGAATTTGCTTGCCTTGAACAGCAAGCAGTGTTTCTGTTGCCATGATTTCTAAAACAAGTCACGATATTTAGAGATATAATACTTTGTTACAATAATAAGCAAGTACCTTTAATAATTTTCCAACTGGTGGTAACAATAAAAACCCTTTGTAAATTGCTTCTTCCTGTTCCATTTTAAGGGGGCGTGCCACTTTTTGTGCTACATGAAAAATTATTTCTATTTCGAATTATCAAAAAATACCACATCCACATAATACTTATCAGCAGAAGTTAACACTTTTTTTATCACATATCAACATTTCCTCGTGCAGACATTGTTGCCACATTTAAAGCATTCTTTTCATGATTAACCTCAATTTCTCAACGTACTTAAATTGGTTTTCGATAAAACTTACTTAAAAATTGTATAAAGAAATGTTTATTATTTTGTTTCCGACATGTTGAAAATAAATTAGAGAATTTTGTCTGGAAGGAAGAATAATTCCTATAAAATTATCAAATTTGTTATGACATTCTAAAACTTGGCAACATGGTTTATTTTTATTTACAGGGTTAGGGCGCTCCTTCGGAAATACCAAGACGTAAAATTTGAATATTTTTACAAAAATGTGTAACATCTTTTCCATTTTCAATAAGAAACTTTTAATATGCAATGCAAATACCTTTTAACTAAAAGTAGGTACATATGCATATGGTTCAAGTCAATCACACTAAAAAATTTGACACCATAAATTAATTGAAAGATGATGTTAATTAAAGTTATTGTTTGGTGTTAATTTATTTTTGTTTAACCAAACGAATTGTGAAATATTTTATTTCGGTAACGATACTTAATTGACTGATAGCAGAAAAATGTTGAGGCTAAATAATTAAATCAATTATTAATTAGGTACATACTTCCGGTTTAACGGAAATAATTTTGATTTTCCAAAATTAAACATTTTTCGTCCTTTTTGCTTATGTTCCTTTTGTTGAGCATGAAATTCAAACAGGCTCAAAGACGCGAGCGTCTATTGGCTATCCTGTTAAAAATTAATTTGTGTTAAAATATGTAATGTACCTATATGCAGGGATGTATCCAGGGGGTAGCCAATACGGCCCATCAAAAAAAATAATAATAATAATAATTGCCCGACATCGTACAGTAGGTACCTATGTTTCTAATATAAATAAGAAAAAGTTGAATCTTGATGAGACTTTGCCCTTCTCTGAAAATTTTCTTAATTTTTGGTCATAGCGAGCTACGATCTTAGGCTGTCTTAATAAGAAACTTATGGAAGGTTAGACTATAAAATCAGTAGGTAATTAAATATTATCCTCTATTTATAAGAATGGTTTTATTTTCACTTTTTTCGCTTTTTGCTTCAACGAAAATATGTTAATTGAACGTATTTATCGTAAAGAACATTTAAATGATGAAATCAAATTATTTTGACTTTGATTACTTACACCATAGTAAATAATTTCTAACGTGGTTAATAAAATGATATCGTTATCTATGACGTTACCGTCGTTACCGATAAAAATGTTGAATATTTTTACATGTTTAGGTGTCTATTAAGGGTATCAATTTAGAAGTACTCTAACAAATACCGGAATGAGGAAGTATACATTCAATAAACAAAGAAGATATCAAACATTTACGCAATAACATCAAGGTATATATTATAATGAACAACACAATAATTTGTTATGCCGTGCTCACCCCAGAAACAAAGATCTAATATTATCATGTCCATGTTTTTAATTTACCTACTATGTTAACAGATGTAGAAATGAGGTATCTATTAGAAATACGACAGAAAGGCATTTCCATTCCTAGAGTTCGCCAGTCATGTTTATTTGTAACGTTACAACAAGCGTGTAGCCCACACCATATTCACACCACGATTATAATGATCATATCTCTATCCATGACCCCTAGCGATTTTTTTAGAAGTGATTTTCATAAAAATCACATTAAGGATGTTTTAATTAAAAATCTAACTATGTACATAGTCCAAATCAACACCATTGTTACTCAAAACTCAAAACTTTTTAAACCCCTGTATCTGCATATTGATAATGAAGAATATTTTTTTCTAGATTTATAATACAGTTTTAAATATTACTCTAGTTAGCGTTCGTAGTTAGCTATTTCTTCGTCTATAGGTATTTTCAAAGCTTCCTAGATTTTTAATGAGGGCGCACACATGGCAGACAGTCGGTAATTTTTTTAAATAATAAGATCATAGGTATGTGTGATGTTACTGATGTTAAATACTATTAGGTTAATACATATGATTTAACAATACGCTTTCCTTGGTTTTATTTTCGTACAAATAATTGTGGTTTATTCTAGAATTAAGTTCTTAGATTACAGCTTTCATATTTTCATGTCTTATTTAATATAGAATACAAAATCGTATTCTATGGTTTAAGATTAATGGATTTAGAAAAGTCTCTAGTAAAAAGTTACCGAGTAAAGCTCTTAAAAGTAGTCGAATGTAAGGTAGAATTATCCACTGAAAAAAAAAATAAAAGAAATCATAAACTAATTGATGGATAAAATAAATAATACATTTAAAAATTTTCAATATTCTCAACTTTGGAAAACTCGACATAAATAACGACTATTTCAAAACTGTACACTAGAAATACCCGTTTACTTTTTACTATGGCAAACCGTCACTCCGTCAGTTTAAAATTTTTTAGGGCCGCTAGTTTGAAAAATTCCCGGGCCGTTTGTTTCTTCCAGTCCGGCGCTGCTTATATGTATAGAGGGTGTTCGGGAAATGTGGGTAATTTCTCGAATTTGGGTAGGACTCGAAAAAATAATGTCACAAGTTCAAATAAAATTATTTATTTCAGTTATTTATAGTTCTTGAAGTTGAAAATCGATTTTTTGTTATAACTTTTTTTATTACATCAACAGTCGCCCTTATCTCGAAAACAGTTCATTATAACCATAATAAACAAGTAGGTACCCGTTTTTCTATTTCAAAAAAGTGCGAAAATCTTAAAAACGGCTATAAAAATTAAAAAAATTAGCCTCTACATTTTTCTAGGGGTTACGCTTCTTTGAAAATGAAAAAATGACATGACAATGATTTTGCAAATATACCTATACGCTTCCGTTTTGGAGAATCCAATATCGGCGTCCCCTAATCTCGTGTTTTATTTCTCAAATTTCTATCAAAATTTTTTCATCATGAAAGTTTTCTTTGTGGACCTAGAAATCATCTCCTAAAAAGTGGTATGGTATTATTATTATAATACCCATTACCACTTTAATTTTCATCAACCGGCACTGATGGAAACAGAAAAAAAGTACTTTTTTATTTGCTGTACAATTTAATGAAAAAGAAAAACAAATTAATAAGCCCTTGGCGTGGCAAGACACATTACCAAAATCGACAATTACAAAATGTCAATCAAATACCCTAATCCAGCGCAAGGCAACAGCTAGAAAACTCATCGTACCCTACTAAGGGTGGCAATCAATGGGCATACGTTTTTACTAGCTTAGTTTAGCGGTGGAAGTCACGAAGAACCGACGCCAATCCAATGTTCGATCCGGGGTAAACGCAAAATGCCGCACTTCTGGGACTTCGGCAAGGACACGCCGAAGCACAGGAACTTGCAGGACGGACTCTTCCAGATCGCCTCGCAGACCTGCAGTTTGCTGGTGCAAGTGAACAACACGAACAACATCAGCTATGGGAACAACTCCTCCAACATCCACCTCAATAATCTGTCGGCGGGCACTCGGAATAGGTCCCCAGGTCCTGCAGCTAGTGATACGGCAGGGGACAGGGAGCAACTTCTGGTTCTCATACCGCCTGAGAAGAGCTGCAAGTACAAACCTGGACTTCTTGGGAAGCCTCGCTTGTCGGTAAGTTAAGTTAAGTAGGTACTACAATTTTATTATTATAAAGTGCCGCACGAGAATGGTTACAGAATAAAAGAACGTCTTTTAGTTAAAATGTAATTATATTTTCTTCTACAGGGTGGTCACGTTAAAGATTAAGATCTTCTAAATTTGAGAGATAGAGCTTTTTAAATAGATAACTCTCTTAATATACATAATAATGCAAGTGCATTGGGTCTATCTTGGTTTATACTTGCACTTAAATAGCTTTTTACACTTTTTAGTGCAGAAAATGATCTTTCTCCAGAATCCTTCTTTAGTAATTGCTTCAAGTAACACTGTAAATAGTGTAAATGAATGCACTCATTATTTATTGCTTCTTCTACAAAAACATATTAGTTTCCACAGTCATAAAAATGGGGGGAAGATTGTTTACAGGCTGATTAATTGTATAATTTTTACGTAAATTCACGTTTTTTGCTTATAACTTTTTTCCATTCATTTCTACGAGAAAATAGTTAGGTACTTTTTTTTTGTCTTCAACAGACCTACAAAACTAGCCCTCGAGCGTCAAAAAATATTGATTAGATCAAAAGTTATAAACAGAAGAAGTTTATTTATGACTTTTGAATTAAACATTTATAAACTGCGTTATTATTACCAGAAGGCTTTGGCATCGCATCTTCTCATTCCTTATCACTGTCTAATAACTCACACGAAATCTGAAATCGGTAATTTGAATAGTTTACAAGTTATGGCCTTATAAACAAATTAACTAATTATTAGTAGATATATGTTATTAGTCTGGCCGATCCCGAGCATCTTCCACAATCGCACTGACTTTTTTCATTTTTTTCAACGGAGTTACAGACTGTCAAAGTTGACGACCTATTGTTAAACAAATTAGGTTGGTAGCGGCAAAAAAAAATTGTCATAACCGGTGGCAACCCGAGTACTTTTCCAGATAAAAATATTTTATTTATAGAAGTATGTTAAGTGCATAAGAAATATTATCAAGTCATGGGTCGCTTGATTTCTCGGCGAGCCTTGGCGCGGTGGAAGGGTGGGGGAAGCGAACAACAACGAGTCCGAAGAAAATGTCGATAATATTCATAGTCCTGCCGTTAAAAAAGCGAAATTCGCTTGAAAATAATATATTTGACATTGCGATTGTGTAAAATGCTCGGGATCGTCCAGACTAATAATTAGTTAATTTGTTTATAGGGCCATAACTTGTAAACTATTCAACTTACCGATTCCAGATTTCGTGTGAGTTATTAGGCAGTAATAAGCAATGAGAGGATGCGTTGTCAAAACGTTCTGGTAATAATAACGCAGTTTATAAATGTTTAATTCAAAAGTCATAAATAAACTTCTTCTGTTTATAACTTTTGATCTAATCAGTATTTTTTGACGCTCGAGGGCTAGTTTTGTAGGNGATGAGAAAGTTTGTTTGGTTTTAAGAAAATTGAAATCTAACGCTACAGGTGCGGACGGAATGAACTTAAA